GGACACATAATGAGAAAGGAGGGCTTGGAAAACTTAACCTTCACAGGGCATGTTGAGGGCAAAAGAGGTAGGGAAATGCAGCGAGTTTGTGGGAATGTATGGCGGAAAAGGCGATGGGAGCCTTAGTAAAGGGAGATAAACTATTAAGGGCCACAAGTGATAGGAAGTTGTGGAGAGCCATGATTATCATGAAGGGATGCAGCGCATAGAAGAAGAGAAACATCAAAAATGCAATTAAACTTTTACAGGTATTCATTATATATATATATATATAACTTAGGATGAGACAAGCAAAATGTTTCATACACATTATGAGAGTTAAACTCATTACAATCAGATTTCGCCTCAGCTTTCAGTGTAAGATAGACGTTTATACATATATATGTTCGATAAAGAGCCATTTTTATTTGTTTTCATCTTAATCGATGTTTATCAATCTAACACAGTAGTTCGTACCTCCGTCGACCTCGGTCAGTTCCTATCTATTTTTTCTATCGAGTCTCTCGACGGTCAAGCCATTGTCCCGTCGGGCTGGCGTGTCCCAGGCAACGAGGTTCAATATCAAAAGAGACAAGCGGCCCGATTGTATCGCTAAGCCACACGCCTGACCCAACGCACCCGACAATCCGTGAAGAAGAGGTCAAGTTTCAAAGGCGAAAGTGTTTAACTAGGTTAACAGAAAGAAAAAAATGTGTGTATCAGGCAATTAAGATACAATGATTACGATAAAAATAGGTCAGGTTTTCACGACTCTAACGCACCACGTTACACGGGTCCGACGCAAGAAAACACACACACACACACACACACACACACACACACACACACACACACACACACACACACATGGAGCTTCAAAAAATCTAAAACGCGAATACACAGCTATTTATTCTGACTTCGCAGTCCTCTTAACTAATGCGTACTTAGTTTGGGACAAGGCAACAATATTAGGGTTCTTCATTCAGTTATGTGACATGCGTGATGCACGCTTAGGCGATCATGTATCTTTCAATACATGACTGATGAGGTAGATTTTTCCCCGCAGTAGATTGCTATTTCTTTCTGCAGTAGACCAGTTGCCATCCAAACCTACAGAATCCGATCTGTCCTCCTATTTACCCATAGATGGGGGAGAAGACGAGGATTCATACCTTTCCCAAGGGTATTTAGCACGTAAGTGAATGTAATGGATTCGACTGGAATTCGAACTATAAAAGAATATTAATTTGTCTGCAAGCTTAGATAAAAGTTTTTGTTGTTGTTTTAAATCGAATTCATTCCAAGCAAGGCAGTAAAGCCATTAACGCACAATGGGTCACTGTGTTTGTGAACGAATTAGAAATCAGAAAACATTATTAAAGAGCAGAAACAGTAGAAGAGTAATCAGGAAGACAGTAGATGATGATTGCCATGGTTTTTAAAGTTTTGAAGACCAAAATTGTCCGGAAAGCATGGAGCAGGGAGAGTGTTCCACAAATGAGAAGTGCGATAGTAGAAACTGTTAACATAGAACTTACGGCTATATTTAGCAAGCTCAACTTGATGAGATCTTGACGCCAGTCTAGTCGTGCGTTTAAATTGAAAATATATAGCAAAGAGCTTATTCGAACAATTACCGTGAAACTTTTTATAGAAAAGATACAGAGAGGAAAACTTACCCCAGGGGAAATGTGACTGAAACCGATCTGCCAGATCAGGACCAATAATATTGCTGATTCATCTTTGGATCCCATCAAGGAGCTCAAAGTAAATAGCAAGGGCATCGGACCATATGTGACAGCAATGTTATAAGTATGGCCGAAAACTAGAAATTGAAATAGAAGAAACTGTTAGCATAGAACTTACGGTTGCATCTCACCATTTCAATTATAAAAATGATAATTCCTTGCCGACAGTCAAGTACTACGCTTCATAAATTCATAAAGTCTACGTTCCAAATATGAAAGAGTCCATCCAAACAATTACCATGAAATTATTGTGAAAAAGTGACTGAAGCCGAGATGCTAGGTCAAGAGCAGTAATATAGCTGATTCTTCATTGGATTTTACCAAGAATCTCTAGATGTATAGCAGGTGCACTGGACCATATATATCAGCAATATTCTAAGCACTGACGAATGCTATACAATGAATCCAGACACGAATATGCAATTTGGTTGGCCCTGATCTGGCATCTTGTTTGCAGTTAACCAATGTTTTTAGCAGCCAAACTAGCAGTGGATTCGATATAAGCTTTCCACTTGCGTGTCAGGTGTGAATGTTTGCCCGAGTCACTCTCCTGGATGTTAGCATCAGCCAGGCAGAAAGGGATCTCAAAGTGCGGTTTACAATAAAATAATAACAATGGTTGCTCGTTTCTGAGTATGTTTCTCTTTTAGGGTGGCTAGTTAATCCCTGATGAAGGCGTTTGCTCAAGCACATTTGAATTTCTTCAACACCCACGACGCCAATATGTGGGTTATACCGCCGCAATAGTGACGGGTGTACGATGTGGAGTAACGAATAACGGTTCGGGATGAGAGTCGAGTTCGAATTCCAGTCGAGATCGTTGCGTTCACTTACGTGCAAATATAAAGAAAAAAGCCAACACAAAATAATATCAATTATGAACACGGCGACAATTAGGTGACCGTGTTTTGAAAATAAAACATTCCTCTATAAATACATAAAACAATCCATACATTCAGTTAAAAGTAGAAATAAAATTCATTCTTGATAATGGCTAAAATTACGACCAAAAACGCTTGGATATACAGAATATTCAAACAGTTTTTACACGCTTTATATCCAGAAAAATCACTTTTACAAACACAAGAAAAATGAATTAAAAAGCTTAATCGCAGATGTCAGTCGTTTTAATTAAACTTGCATATCTATCTATCTATCTATCTATCTATCTATCTCTCTCTCTCTCTCTCTCTCTCTATATATATATATATATATATATATATATATATATATATATATACAGAGGCTGCGATGGGTTAATTTAGCGCATGCTCATCGTTTGTTTTTGATTTTATCGACTGCACAGTATAGGAGGGTTAGTTGGGCACCCTCTGTGGGAAAAAGACCACCATAACGCAAGTCACTCCGAGAGCAATTTGGAAATGGCATGATGTACTGCTTGGCATTCGCGCCGGAAGCTCTAATGCGAACATTTCAGAGTCGTTGTGTGTCAATCTGAGGACAGTGCAGAGCATTCGGAAAGAGTTTGATAATATATTCAGTCATCATCATGGTGTTTGGAGTGATCACTAGTGATGGCGAGGTTATGCCACCATTTATCTTCCCACAGAGCTTCAGACTGAACACTGAGGCCTACATGAAGTGCCTTGAGGAGGTATTACTGCCTTGGGTCAAGAGGGTGGCTGTTGGAGGGCCCTATGTCTGAAAACAGGACACTGCACTATTCCACACAAGCAGGGGGACCCAGTCATGGCTGTCAGACAATTTCTGCGACCACCTCACTCCTTACATATGGCCACCTAGCTTCCCAGACTGCACCCCTCTTGATTATTATATGTGAGGTGCATATGCATGAGAGAACAACAAAACTCCTTGGAACATCAAAGATGAACTGAAGGCAAAGATTATAGCGGCATTCACCAACTTAAACAAGGAGACCGTCAAGAAGTGTTGCAGGAGATTCTATCAAACTATTCAAAGTCATAACACCTTACATTGCATCTAGACATATTGTTCTGTTGTTAATATATCGGTCTCTCATGTCTTACGACGTCATAGAACCGAATCAAGAATTTACGACCTGCGTCTGATATTCCGCGACCGTTATCATCGCATAGCAATCTTCTATGTCAACATAACAGAATATCATCTTTGATGGTGAATATCTTTGTTTAAATGTTCATATAACCACTCTGAAGATGTCACCTGTGCCGAAACCTTAGATCAAGGAACAGCATAATTAGAAAATATCCAAATGTTCTACAAATTTTGTCTTTAATTTCTCCTCAAAGTTTACAACAAGGTTTACAACGGTTTATGTTCAAACATAATAGACATTCGTTGTCTGTTATATTTAAGAATATATATTTGATAATGATTTGTCCTAATAACTCTATATACACCGTCATTGAGCTAGTTATGAATCAGCACAAATGAGTTGTCGCAATTGTCGAGATCAGAGTCTATAAAACGCAACATATCTAGAAAACAAAAACGTTTCGTCATAACGAAGTCATGAAATAAACTAAAAGGGACATTCCGAAAAGAATTACATTGAAGACAAATGTCAGGGAAATGTTTCTTTTTCTATAAATCAGTGTCGATTAAATTAGTCTTTTTTCTTTCAAATATTTCACCAGTGAAAAGGAAACATTTCTTCACAAATCGAAAAGGAAACAAATGAAAACAATACTTTCACAAATGAAAAAAGAAACAATGATTTTATAAATGGAAAAGGAAAAAAATGAAAACAAAGATTTCACCAATGAAAAAAGAAACATTTTTTCACTAATTGAAAAGGAAACAAATGTAAAAAATGATTTCACAAATGAAAAAAAAGAAAAAATGATTTCACAAATGAAAAAAAGAAAAAATGATTTCACAAATGAAAAAAAGAAAAAATGATTTCATAAATGGAAAAGGAACAAATAAAAAACAAAGATTTCATCAATGAAAAAGGAAATAACCTACGAAAACTTTAATCTTCAATAATTGTTAATTTTTTACTTACATAATATTCTTTCTTTTTTTCTCAGTTTCTGTTTGCCTTATTTCATTTCTTTCTTTTACTTATTTGTTTTTGCCTACAATTCTCTTATTCTTACTTTCCTGTCTTCAGTTCTCATATTGCTATTCGACAATTCGTTTTCCTTTCAATGCTTTTCTGTCATTGATGCTTTCACTTTGTTTCTCTTATTTTTCAGTTTATATTACAACCATAATTTGCCTTACATTGTTTTTATTCTCTTCCTTTCCTTTTGCAAAGTTTTTATCTACATATCGTTATTGTTTTTTTTTTCTCGTTTGTATTAGGTATGCAAAAACAATGTCGAAATTTCAGACACATGGCGTCCTTGCAACATGAATTATTTTGATGCGCATGATTATTGGATTAAGGTAAGAAACGGATTCTTCTTTTTAAAGTTGCAAATGTTTGGTGCAAATTGAATGAGAGATTGGACATATCTTTGATGCACTTTACCTTGTCAAATTTCAACTTGCAATTATAATATCAATGATAAATTTTCTATCCTTCTTATTCTCATAATCTATACTTGCTTCTTTTCAACTCATATCTTTCACTTTATTTATCATTGAAACTTTGACGGTAACCATTAATGTTTAGAATTTACAGAAACACATATACATCCTCACAGATAACTTAATTCCCTGAAGATGGTTTCAGATGAGATTGAAAGTACTTGGGCAAACAAAAACTATTTGAAAGAAATTTTTTTTTTTCTTAATAAGTTTTCTAACGATACCAAGAAATGAATCCGTGAACTTGAAAGGATCACAAAGAAAAGTAATCGACATATGCCTAAATTATTTAACCAAACCTGTCTGAATATGGTGGATCTCCCGTCGTATTGGACGTATGAGGGTCAAGCAGCTCAGTTCTTAGGAACCGATAGCCAGACACCAGCACATATATTTTGATTATAGTGGTGAAGTGATTTGTGCAGAACCAACAACACTTTTTGAAGGGCCGAATATGGAGACCTGGTGCACTACGTGTTACAAGGTCCTCAAAAGACCCTTCGCAGGTTTTGAATTAAGAGTTGTTCTTCTCCTAGACCAGTTGCCATCCAAGGCTATAGAACCCAGTCTGTTCTGCTATTTACCCATAGCTGGAGAGATAAAAGGAGGATTAATACCTTTCCTAAGCGTATTAGCACGTAAGTGAAAGCAATTGATTCAAGTGGAATTCCTCAAACCGAGCCGTTATCTACTACTCCACCGTGCCCCCGAGCCGCTATCCTGAATGTCTGAATATATATATATATATATATATATATATATATATATATATATGGTATAATTGGAAAAAAATACTAGATTTTGCAGACGCGTTTCTTCTTCCGACTTTTTCAAGGCAAAAATGAAATCGAAAAGTCTTTGTTGTTTTAAAAAGATAGACGCTTCTGTCTAAGCCTTTTTCTGGTTAATGTAAATTTCCTTTATACTAAGAGATTTTTTTCCAATTGTCATTTTATACCAGTTTGTTTTGTCCACAGAATTGATCTCGGAATTTAACTGTATTATCGACATAGAAAAAAAAAAAAATTTCCGAGTATAAATGAAAGTATAAAAATACATTTTTATAGTAAATTTACCAGCAATAGATTCTAACAGTAAAAAAAGAAAATTAACAAAGCTCCCAAGAAAATTAAATTTAGGTATGAAATGACACATAAAGGAGTTGATATGCCGTTAAACAAACAAACATCTGCGATTTTACTTAAATAGGGACGGTCTCCGCCAGATCTGCTTGCCAATGTTGTTGTTGTTGATGATGATGATGATGATGATGATGATGATGACATAATACAATGCGACTTAAATAGTTGTAATACCGTTGGTGTGAACAAAATATTTCAGAGTGAAACCGACACCTGAAAAAAAAACAAAAAAAAACGTTTCTACATAAACAAATTAATCGTCTAAAATATTTGTGTCATTTGTCAGAGGAAAGACAGGAGAAAATACTATTTGGGGCCAATTCTAAATAAGCAGATATATTTCTGAAAAATGATAGTTTGAAAAGTTGTTTACGGCCAAAGAAAACTAGAATAAATTACATGAACATTTTTGTTAATGAAATGATTAAAAAATATATTGTTTAAAAAATATACTATTCATTCTTAGGTACCTCAACTTCACGAATTTAAGCGCAAAAAGTCTTACCAAGATTCATTAATAGTGGCTACAATGTTAATAATAAACTGCTTTCATTTAACCGCCATAGATATTTTTTTGCCTACCATTAGCATGTTTGATCCGAGGCTCCAAGATAGTAACATACTGCATCTTCATGGCCTCACGTTTACTATTGACTTCAAGTGGAGCGACAACATCAGATCAATATCTGCATCTACTGCAAGGAAATTTGTGTCGTGTCGGAAAGATTTTCTCATGAAAATATATTTTGCACATTAACAAATTCGTCCGCGCATGGAATACTGCTGTCTTATCTTTCTGCTGCTCCTCTTATATATTTAGAGATTTTTGACAAATTCCAAAGAAGAATTTGTAATGAAATCGATCCAGACATCTCAACTTCAGTCACAATCTCACCGACGTGACGTGGCTTCCCTCTGTCATTTCTACAAATATTTTCATGGCAACTGTTCTGACTAGCTTTTTTTCCCCTGGTGCCCTGATGACATGAACTTAAGCGTGTTACTCGATTGGCAACTAGGTCCCACCCTTTCACTATTGAAACAGTTTCTTTTCTCGCATTTCCAGCCCGTGGGATTCCGTTTCGTTTACCTGCCTCCCTGTAACTTGCAATCTTCAAAATTTTAAATGTAAAGCCAATCGCCATCTCCTATCTTTTTGAATCTTGTTCATCTTTTGTCCTTTCCTCAATCCTTCCTATTCTCAGTCTTCTCTTTCACTTTCACTCCCTGTAATCCCCCCTGCATACTAGTGGCATTCTTGCCTTGCCTGGGGAGAAATGAAAAGAAACACAATGTTGATAATAGACATAAAAAGGGAACCACAAGAACTCCTACAAAAATAAAATAAGAACGCGAGAAAAAGAAGATATCAAAATTAAACAATTTCAAAAATTTAAATACTTGACAAGTTTTTAACAGTACGAAAAATGAGACACCGAAATCCGAAGGCGCGTTGGGATTGCGAAAGATGCCTTAACAAAGCTAATCAAAGTATTAAGAAACAGAAAACTATTAGGTAAAATTTGTTTCACTATATGCCAGATGAAGAAGAGACTTGAAGAAGAGAATGTAGTTCTGTGGAAGTATTCTGAGAATCCCATAGATTGACATGTGAGCAACGACGAAATTTCAAAAGAAAATGGAAAGGAAATGACCATTATACTTAGAAAGAAATAATTGCAATTTCTAGGGCGCGTATTGAGTTAAGATGGCTTGGAAAATTTGACACTCACAGGACAATTGAAAGCGACAGAGGAAAGCAGCGACTAACCCTTGCCTAACGAGTTTTATTTTTAATTCGATAATTTATCTTACTACCGCCAAATATTGTTTTAATGGATTCCCATGTTTGAGCAGAAACCGCCTTTTGTAAAAAATGTGAATTACGTCTACCGGCCTGTAGACCTATCTTCCGTTTTTTTTATTTCTTGAAATGCAACTGTTATGTTTTGGCTATCTCTCTGCGTAGTTGTAGTCGTGGCACCCAATGTTCGCCAGTTGTTCTCTATTTATTCTTGTCTATATAATTTGCATATGATACTTCAGCAATCTTTATCTTTCTTTTTGAATGCTGTTCTTTTTATTGTTTTTCTTAGTTTCTCTCTCTCGGATGAGCGTCAGGAAAACACATTTCATTGTCGGATTCAAAATAAAATCCATTAATCCATTAGAAATAGTCTTTTCTACGAAAAATGCGGGAGAAGAAACTAGCATGGTTAAATCTAACAATTCTAACATGTAATTATGAGACCTAACTACCAATCTAGTCAGATTCTTCGTATATTTGCCGTGTCCCTTCGGGATGTAGGCGATCACACTTCTCTACAAATTTTTGTCTTTTGTAACTCTTCGCAATATGTTTGTTTGCTAGCTATCTTATTCACATTTACTCGTTAGGGGGTTGTTCATTGCTTTCCTCTGTATCTCTGCTCTTCAACGTTTCGGATATGGAAGCGAACAAATATGACCCGAGTGCAATTGGCTAAGGCTTTTGACAAGATGTAACATAAGGGGTTGGTACACTGAAAGAGTCTTCGCTATTATACAGTCCTTCCTCTTTTCTACAAAGGAGGGCTCAGGTTGGAAGCCTTTCTTTATAATGTCTCTCTCTCCATGAAGGGGGGTCGTTAATGGACAGTTTTTGAAGCCCATGAGATTAATTCACGCTTTTCCCAAGGCTCTCTCATTGGTCCTAAATATTTCCTGTTTTATATTAACGAACTGCCGATGAAAATTATCAAATTTATATATATATATATATATATATATATATATATATATATATATATATATATATATATATATATATATATATATATTTTGATAATTTTCATATATATATATATATATATATATATATATATATATATATATATATATAAAATTATATTTATATATATATATATATATATATATATATATATATATATATATATATAAATTTGATAATTTTGATAATTTATATATATATATATATATATATATATATATATATATATATATACATAAATTCAGATAATGCCACACTTTTAAGAATACATGCTCCCTGTTGACCACAATTCTATCCTCCTTATCATCATAATCTTCACCTCCTTATTTCTCGTCGTACATTTATATCACAGCCCTCATTCAGTAACTCTCTACCTTGATGGGATCTTGAGTCTTGTATTGGGTAAACTTTAGTAATAATAAAAATGAACAAGAAATTACCATTAACTTGTGCGTGGAAACATTTTAGTGTTCCCTGGGCCTGATCATAATAACATTGCCTGAGATCTTCATTACTACTGATAATGTTGTAATGATTGAAGAAAAGGATCCTTTTAATTTTGTAAGGACCTACAAATTTGCGGTAGATTTACCGAATATTTTGAGCGCGAACAACGAAGTGAAGAAGGAAGTTACTGGAAAGTAATTGACACTCACCTGAAGCGAGCTGAATGTGTAATGCTCCTCATGCCAATGACACTTCCACCGAGCTTCACTGCGGCTTTTGACTTCACTGAATTTGATGTGTTCCTCTCGAATTTTAAACTGGGGTCATCAGGAGAGAATGTGCACCGTTTCGGGGCCTTCCTCTCAACGGTTTCAGTTGCACACCGGCCCCACTCACTGATGTGAGGCCCCATTATAACGATATACAAGTCTTGTAGATAAACTAGTTCAAATGTGTAACGGCGAAATTAAATTTACGAAAATTCGAAAAGTGTATGA